GGTCTTGCTGGAAACCCTGAAGATAAAAATAGCTTTTTTAACCTAGTGAAGGAAGAAAGGAAGTACAGCTAATTAAACAAATTACTCTTTTTTTTCCTACCTAATTTGCATCACCAAATGCCTTCATAATATAGGAAGATAGACATATTTATATTTGTATACCTGTAATGTACAGTTTTCTTTTCGTTTGAGGAACTCCACAAACCTGGCCACCACTCCTGGTGTGCTTATGACTTCATCTATTGGGGGATTTGGTTCTATTTAAAATAAAAAGCAAAGTTAGACTGCATCAAAATAATATCCAATGACATACTGACTCCTCTTTTCTGAGAGTGTGTTCTTTTTCTACAATACTGCTTTACCTTTACTAAAAGGCAATGGATTCCTATCTGTCACGATAAGACGACTCTATCTTGAATTTTGGGGTAACAAGGTAACGTGATTCAAAACACTAATGCACTCAGTAATTTAGGCAGACCAACTTCACAGCAGCTGTTCTATGAGGTCACTCTGGCATGCACGCATGCAGAGAAACTTCAGTGTATCAGCATATTTGAGCCAGAGACACTGCCTACAATATTTAAACTTACATTAAAGAGTAGACATCACATCTGCATCACTTAGTAGTTATACAGATTTCAAGAGAAGTGACTGTTACATACATCTAGCTGACATTTTGCAAAACAGAGCTTCATCCAGAAATTTCTGTATGAAACTCAATCTTTATTGCTGTCAAAGTAAAAACATATGCCAGGGACGTTTCTACATTTTTCTCCAAGTAATTTCAGCCCTTACCTTTAGAAAGAAGCTTTCGGAACTTCTGGGTGGCTGAAAGTTGCTGTTCTGGACTATTGGAGAAAATCATCTCAATCATATCAGAGGTGATGACTGCACTCTAGGATTCAGGTGGGGGAGACAGAATGAGTGAGAGAGAGCAAGAGGGAAAACAAAATCTGGGATTAGTGGTAAAAAGGTTACAACATCTGGTAAACCGGTATCAGGTTTCTCTCTTACTGAGTAAAAACCTAGATAAGACCATTATGGACAACAAATGTGTCATCATACATGTACATCTACATAAGCAGCATCATTCTTACATGTAGTCTTTCTTTTCTGGAAGCCAAAATTAAAGTTTTACTTAAGATATGGCAAGAAAATTACTCTTCAGAATCTCTCACCGGTATTCTCTCCCCTTTTTTTCTATCTCCCCTCCTCTAAAATAAATGTAAAATTGTCACCTTCAACAAAAGGTAGTTTAAATTGGAATAGCAATTACTGTTATGCAAGAACACCACTTTGATTATGCTATTGTTTAGAGTTCTGTAACATGTACATTTTGACTCATTCTCTTACACCAAAATGTATAGGACCTGTCAGTTTTAGAAGAGTTGACAAACCTAATGCTTGTCATCATAATCAAGTAAGAGTATTAAATTTTCCATAATACTGACGGTTTCCACTAATACGGCTAAATTAAATCAGCAACCTTTCTTATGCCAGGTAAAATCTGACATTCTGTTCATCACACATGTAAACCCATGTAAAGAAGCATAAGGGAAGTCAGATTTTTTCTTCCACTTCTTCTGATCTAAATCGTTAGATAAGTAGGGAGACAGATGACAGTGCTGAAAATACTTGAGCTTTGTCTGTAACAGCTAACAGCTCCAACTGTTAAGATCCTGAAATTAATGATATTTAAAATAGTAAAGTGCATAATGGTAGTATTATCTCAATTAGATAGGCTCCTTTTCTTACTTTTTACTATTAATTTCATATAAGCTTCCACACAAATAATTAAATGGTATTTAGGACTTGTCTGACGTTTAAAGACTATCTTGAAGAATAAAACAATATATTCTATTAGTGATCTACCACACTGTTTATAGGCATTTCTCTGTTTCTCAGTAATTTTCAAGGCTGGTATAACCACCAACAGAAAACAAGCCTAGCCTGATTTCTATGAAAACATCATTTGCATCCTCTGAATACAGACAAAAGTGTGAAGATCAGTGGTCAGACTTTTAAGTGAGGACTGTACTTTCCTTAAACTTCTCTGTTACAGCCTGAATCCCTTACCATTTTTCTTTCCAGGGAAAGGACTACGGTAAAGAAACAGGGAGAAAGCAGAAAAGTCTAACTTCCACTAAAAGTCTGTTTATAGATTTCTCTGTTTCTCAGTAATTTTCAAGGCTGGTATAACCACCAACAGAAAACAAGCCTAGCCTGATTTCTATGAAAACATCATTTGCATCCTCTGAATACAGACAAAAGTGTGAAGATCAGTGGTCAGACTTTTAAGTGAGGACTGTACTTTCCTTAAACTTCTCTGTTACAGCCTGAATCCCTTACCATTTTTCTTTCCAGGGAAAGGACTATGGTAAAGAAACAGGGAGAAAGCAGAAAAGTCTAACTTCCACTAAAAGTTTTTTCTGTAGGATGAAATTCCAGCTTGGAAAGGAGTTCAAGGACACATGCAGATAGATAAGCTAGGTCTAGCTGTGTTTCCAACACCCTGGCTAAAAATGGTGCCACTTGAAAGTCCGCTAACAAAGATTTCCACTGAGCCCCTTTTTACTTTGTAAACTGTAATAACACATTGCCTGGTTTGTATTTTCATGTTTCAAGTATTATGAATTCCAGATTAAAAAAACCCAACAACTCCGGGCAACAGTTGATAAAATCACCCATAATGGTAAACACCAAAACCAGGAAGTAATCAGCCTGCCTAGAACAATGACATTTTATTTAACTTTCTTGAAAACATATCCACTGAGCAACCACTCACTCTATCCATAACATTTTTCTCTCATGTAACCTGTTTCAGGGCAGTTCACCGATAGGTGTTCAAGAGCTGTCCATAAGCTCTTTGAATGCCATTTTCCACATTCTTCTGGAATTCCATTCCCCTCAAAGTCACTGCAAAACAGGCCTGCCCAGTTTCAACAAACACTGTATCCTTTCTCATCACTTACAGAAGTCATCTCCATGTTGTTCATCTGAGCCTCATGGAAGCCACCATCTGACATCACTTCCTCCTCCGCTTCTTCCTCAGCTGTTGCAACATTTCGGCGTTTAAACAACTAAAGAGAGAAAGTATTTAACGTATATTATATAGCCAATATATACACAGCATGTTGTGTTAGGCTGCAATAAAAATGCAATACAAAATTCTTACAACCTGAAAGAAGCTAGTGTACTGGCTACAGGACTCCTCCTGACAGTAAATGGAGAAAGTTTAGTCATAGAGTAAATGAAAACAGCAACGTGCTGTACTGGTTCCCAACATTTCTGAAAAATTCTCACTGATATTCCCTTCTCTTCTTCACCATCCCCCTCCATCTACAACCTATCTCTAGCTTCCAGACAATTGGTTTCTTGCAGAGGATGCTGAGGCTCAAAGACCTGAAAAATTGCTGTGTATAACAGATCATAGAATCATAGAATCATTGAGGTTGGAAAAGACCTCTAAGATCATCGAGTCCAACCGTCGACCCAACACCACCATGTCCACTAAACCATGTCCCTAAGTGCCTCATCTACTCGTCTTTTAAATACCTCCAGGGATGGGGACTCCACCACTTCCCTGGGCAGCCTGTTCCAATGTTTAACCACTCTTTCAGTAAAGAAATTTTTCCTTACATCCAATCTAAACCTCCCCTGGCGCAACTTGAGATCTTTGTAGAATGCCTGCAGAGGCTGGGATAATTGAGTTACGGTGGCAAAAAGAGGGCTTTGGAGGATGATCACATGGGATTGAAATTATACTGGGAAGAACGGAATTTGGTTGCTACCACTTAGAGAAGGTACCCAGTTTGAGATGTCATGAGGAGAGCTAGAGAGGCTACAGCTTCTCCCCTTAATGCAGCTGTCTCATTGGAAGAAACATTAGCAATGACAAGATGGCTTTGGGGGTGCTGCTAGGCCTGTTGAGTTCAGGAAGCAAGACTCCAGCATTGAGCCATGTCAGATTTGCACCACTGCAGATAGGCAAGACAGAGTCCTGACACAGACCTGCTGTTACTCATCTCCCGAGAAGATGGGGAGGAAACAGTATGTAAAACTGCTAAGTCTATAGCAACCCTAGGTCAGTGATAGGCATCCTTATGGAATGCTATTCCTTCTAAGCCACTGTATGATGTGCCCACTCAAGCTCAACAAACGTGCTCAAATACAATCTTAAACCAAAATTTATACATTGCCAAGATACGTGAAAATTCAGAGGCCTGACGTTATTTTTGTGGGGTTGTTCAGCTTAAAAAAAAAAAAACACCACACAAACAACAAACAAAACCCAAAAAAAGGGGACTTTAAACAAACTTCAATGAGCTATGTGCCAAATACATAAAAGAGAAGTACCTGTACAAGGTCTGAAATTGTAGAGCTGCAGACTCTGCTTGCAACTCCACTTCTGCTCCACTGTTAGTCCAGTTAGGACTAACAATTTTCCTTAACAGAAGGAAATACTGCCACACACTTTATTTAGCCAACCTGTGGTAATCAGGTCCAAGGCAGGTCAGAGGCACAGATAAGACAGAAAATGACTCATCGTCTTCCTAATTTAGTAATGGCTTTACAAAGTAAGACCGATGACATTCTGTGCTACCAGTAGTCTGGAAATGCTACCTGCAGATACTGAGCAAAATCAACAAGTCTTGCCACTCCCTCTCAGAACTCTCCCCTACCTTTCCTTGAAAGCATCCGGTATTGACACTGCGAAAACAGTATTAAGCAGAACAGATTACAGACTTGACCTGCCATTCCAAACACAAGCATATTACTATCTTCATTCTAACTCCAGAAACCTCAACACTGATGAAAAAGGCTTCATTATAACTTTGTTTGAAATTGAACCAATCCCTTAAAGCTTCCAGTGAACACAAGAACAAACGGAAGAACTGTTCAGTGCTACTGGTTTTTATCAGAAGATGGTTTTCATCATGTCTTGTCACTGCTGCTGTTTCCTGATTAAACCTGCAGAGCACCTGCTACTTTGCAACATGAATGAAGCAGTGAGAACTAGCAAGACACGAGCAGGTAGAGAAGCTTCATTTCCAAGCATTTTTGTCAATCATTTTGCTTACAACATATACTAAATCCACTACTTAAGGTACCAGCCTTAGAGGCATAAACATAGCATGAACTTTTGTAAATTCATAAATGAACTGAAACTTAAAAGACAGAAAACTGAGAAGAATCAGGTCAACAAATTATTTCTTCCCTCAAGAAAATCATTACTGCAACTTATAAGGACTTGGTCAGACCTTCTCCTCCTCCTATTCCAGCTGCAATGTTTCCTTCCATTTCACCCCAGCTTGCCATTCTTTGAACAGAGATTAGAGCCACCACAACTCAGGTAGCAAAAAAAAAAAGAAAAAAAACAAAACCCATAAACAAAAAGCAAAACAGGAGTTCCTCAGTCACGTTCAGTGCAAGGTCAGACAGCTTTGCTCATATCATCTTTAAGCTGCTCTGGCCAATCTTACACTTGAGTGAATGAGGAGCACTCACTAAGTTTTGTAGAGCCTGCAGAAGAGACAGTAAAGTCTGCAAGTGACTGATTTCAGACTGACTATGTATGAATTTGGCAGGGCAGGAACAACTAAGAAGGTGCTTGGGAGAAGCAAAGAGCCAGAGACAGTGCAAGACAAGACTGTTCAAGGACTGGTTATGGTTATTGCAACTCTAGTACAGTACCTGTTCCTCTCTCTTTTGCTTCCGTAGCTGAAGACCCTCTTCTTCCCGCCTGCGACGCATCTCATCAGGGTTTAGAGATTTGTTCTTGTAGCTCTTCAGTCGGAAATTCTCTTTTCCTGAGGTCGTCATGATTCCTTTACAATGCAATTAAAAAGAGAAGTCAGAAAACAATTACTCTTCAATAACACATCATTTTATATTCTGTCTCCCTCTCTTAATCTCTGTAGCCATGCGCTTCCAGCCACTGCCCTCCTATATCCTGTCACCTAACTTCCAATAACTTAGAAGGTGTAAAACAAAATTTCACAGAATCGTCACTTCTGTGTGCCAGTTCTTCACATCAGACCAACAAACTTTTATATTACTCTCTGAGGCTGCAAGGCATGAATAAATGAAATATTTTATTAAGAAAGAACTGAGATCTATAAGGCAGAGTATACAGCCTGGGCTAAAAAAAAAACCTGCACTAATAAATCTTAACATTTCTCCACACAGAGAATTAGCCAAACTAATTATATTCCCCTGTCTTCACTCAGAAGTGAAGGGGTCTTAGCTGCTTTTTAGCTTAATTCACTTTGCAAGTCAGTACAGTGGCTTTTTTGCACTCCAAATCCACATTTTAAGTTAATTCAACACAACCCTGTGTTCCTTCTATCCAGACACAGCCTACAAGAAAAATGAAATGGAGAGAGAAATTTTAGGTGAGGATGGTTTAACCACTGAAAATGCTCACTCCTGCAGAGAAAGCAGTGCTATTTTTCCCCTCCTCCCCACCCCCAGCCTCTAATCCTGCCACTGTTCATGCAGAGGGGCCTTTTTTCAGTCTATGATTTCCAAGTGGATCAGCATTTATAGCTACCCATGATGATTTTCACATGTACAATGCTGCACTTTGGAGTTACTTAGCATAAAACAATAGCTATAAAACTGTGTGGAAAGGCCACGCCCCCCTTAAATCAACGGGCTGTGGATCAGGTCTCTACTCTGAGTGCTCCATTCTGCTGCTACTTCCCTCCTTACATGCCCCCTTTAAATCCAAAAAAGGTTGGGAACCAAATTCTAAACATCTTGGTACTTCCATGCATCTTCATGCAGACGCAGAATCTCTAATACATTGTAAATATCTGCAACTCCGTAATACAAAATTTAGGAAACTATACTATATAAAAAGTTACTCCACAGGGCTTTTAAAGGTCTCTTTCAAATGCCCTAACATGTTGTATTAAATATGCTACTGTCCTGGTTTCGGCTGGGATAGAGTTAATTTTCTTCCTAGTAGCTGGTATAGTGCTCAAATTCCATAAGCACAGAATTACCAGGTGATAAATGATCTCCTGTGCACTTTTTACTTTAAAATGGAGCAACACGAGTGTATACAGACTCTCAACAGCTTAGGTTTCCTATTTAAAATACATCAAAGGTATAATCGAGTCTACTCTAAACTCTTTTTGTTTGTTAGCACAAAGTGTTTTAAGAGATTAAAAAAAAGAGGATACCCAAACACGCTTCTTGTTAGAGCCTCTTTTTAAGTTGCTGCTACTTGACAACCTTTTATAAGAATTCTGATGATCAGAACTGACTTTCACAGAAGACATTTCGGGCATCACTTCAAGCATTACTGTATTCTGCCAACTGAGATTTAAAAAACTGTTAAGAGACACAAAACTACTGTATTCAAGATCAGTCAGTCACAGATTGCACTGAATGCAACATAAAAACCTGAGCGTATAGGTAAGTAATTCAGCAGCCTAATTCTGCTGAAAAGGCTCTTCCTGAAATGGCTTTTTTTTAAAATAAAGGTCGTACAAAAAGGTAAATCTCAGAACGCCAGAAGTTCCCCACATCATTCTTACCAGCTTAGAGACCCCTTTCTTCCTGTGTTTAGGTGTCTGAGCTTAAAGTGTTCATGTTTCTTACAATATGTTTGGCAATAACATTTTCTTCCCGTTTTTAGTTTAAGTGACTACTACCTGTATATTAAACATACAAACTATTTGGGGAAGTCCTGGATTTTAACTGTAAAAAGAAGCCCGGGCTAACAAATACTCAGAGTACAAAATTTCTTTTGTTTCTAAAACATTTTGAAAGAAATATTTGGTATATTTTAGAATCAGCAAAATGAACCCGAGCACCAGATGGACAACCATGAGCTAAAAGGACACGCCTAACAGGAAAACAGCTTTGCAGCCACTCTAGCCCATCTGCCCTTGAGCATGAACACACACAGGCACACACCACAGTCCAGGTAAGATCTCAGGCCTTCCGTGACATTATTAATAATTCTCCATTTTTGTCTGGAACATGTCTTCTCAAACTCACAAGACTATATTTGCCTTTATTTGGGATTTCAGGACTTTGATAGCTCCTGTGGTCATTTCACACCTTCACTTTCAATGCCTAAAAGTTCTTAATTTAAATAAATCCTTGACAGGGAACATTTTCATTTCTTAATACTGAATTTCACCTCATTTCTATTATGTAGCTCCTCCGTATGATGTTCCAGTGTTTCTAAACATCAATGACACCATCCAACTTCATCATCAGCAAGTTTCCTTAGCATATTCTTCCTTATTGTATTTATTTACCTAGTTTCCCCTCATCTCCCAACTTGCGTATTAATTTCTTTCCATTAATTTTGCTTCTGACTTTAAGGTAATAGTTTTCATTTTCCTCTCAGAGCTCTATTAGCCCTCTCCCGTTGTACTTAACATCATCGTTTCATTTATTGAAAATACAGGCACAGGATTTACTTGAATTCTCTGACTTTACCTCAACCCCTCTACCTAACGGCTTCACAAGAATTATCTTCTATTTATTACACCCTTTACAAGCGTTAGCTGCAACTTTTGGCTATGCTCATTTCCGACTTTCAAGACAGCTCACTTTGCTGACTAACACCTTCTTCTATTTTTTGAGTAATCTGTACGCTTAAAATCCTTTCAAAATAGCGTAGTGTGTTTTACCTGGGAGTAAAGCCTTCCTACAAATTCCTACCACCAAATGACTGGGAAGACAGTTTCTTCTATTAAATGTGAAAAAAACTAAGCTCCCTTCACCACTGAGAAGTTATCAATTCAACTAGTAATGAGCTCAATAGTTTATTTCATAGTAGTCCCTCACTGGTAGTAAGTAAACAAAATCCCAACACATAGCCACATACCCATTTTATATACCTGCCTATCTAACCTGTATAACTATTAAATCCAAAGTTATTTTCTAAAAGCAGCTTTTGTAATATCCTCAATATCTCCTAAAATCAATTCTTTCTTGATCATTCTTTTACTGGTTCCCCAGCTACTGGTGAAAAATTCAATGACCACATCCAGGATTTCATGTGGCCCGCATCTACTGCTAGCATCTTTAGACCTCTTCAGTGTGAGCACACAAATTATTTTTTTAGGACTGAAAATACAACAATCCTATGTTAGTTGTTACAGTCATCCAAGGATTGTTTGCTATAAATCTCCTCTTCCATTTTTCAGGATGCAGCCTTTCCCCCAGACTAAACCACAGAGGCAAAACAACTTCAAATTGCCTCACTCATCTTCAGCAGCTTTGTTGTGGCATAACTGAAAAATCTTTCAATGGTCACTTTAAATTCACCCGTGGTAATTTCTCCATAGCAAACCCTGGATCTTCTCTGAACTATCAAAATTAATGCTACTTCGGGTGAAAATCTGTGGTGGTTGTCATGGAAATGTTCTACCCATCTTTTCTTTCCTAAAGATAGCGTAGTATTTTCCACATTTTTTTCATACTCCTGTCTACAGATAAAAACCGCTGGCGACCTGGTGAGGACTTTTCATGGTGTATACTTTGGGGTTTTGTGCAGGACCACTCAAACCCCATATGCTGCTTTCTCCTCCTCAGTTTGGCTGCCATGAAAAAATGATTTTTAGTAAAATTAAAAACACCATCTATTCCTGAATGTCTGCATTTCCCTAAGGAAATGATGATCCCCAAATTTTTCGCTGATCAAGACAAGTACCCTACCAAATGTGGATGTGTTCTAAGCACACATTTCTAGGAGAAAGGAGAAGTACTGCCTTTCTCCTTGCTCATCAAGTCAAAGAAATTCAGAGGCACTGGGAAACACAGAGTCACTTACTGTGATGACCTACCTTGTCCCAAGTAACCATCTAGATAGGAACAAAAACGAACTTGCTGCCTTCTTAAATCAGTTATCACTGTCACTAGACTTAAGGACTTTGCCAGAAGGAATGCCATGTGACTAATACTCTTGGATATTCCACACGTCAGAGGTATCCAGATGTAAAAATAAAGGCCTTACAAACCAAGGCCTGCATAATGGTATATATATAACCCAGATGACTGAGACTAAGATTACCAAATACACTGCTGCTATTAAAGACTGTCAGAGACAAACCTTCCTTCTTTGGAATTAGGGGTGGGAATAAGGAGAAAAAAAAAAAAAAAAAAAAAAAAGTATTTCAGAAGTGTAGACCTGTACAAGAAATTCTACCTTCCAATGGAAATATATCGGAAGAGGAAGACTTTTGAAAATGAGTGGACAACGAGGTTGAAGAGAAATGGTGTAAGTGACTAAAAAAGTTATCTTGAAGATCCATGATCTGACATATTACCAGTCTATGTTTCCTAACAGAGGCAGTTGTCAGAAGGAAAGGACTCACTGGAGGCATACTTGTGAGCTCTACCGTACCCTCAAACTGCTGTGTCTCCTTTAGATTGCTGCCAGAGAGACAGTGAAAAGATACGAGAGGCACTGTTGGCTCTGAAAGGACAACCCATGTCAGAAACGGCACTGTCAAGATGGAACTCCAAGCAGTGAGAGAAGCTGGAATTATTCAAGGTAAGAAATGGTTCAGCTACACTACAAAACCTTTACTTCCAAGGAGATCTTTGTTTGTTTATTGGCTCTGCCATAGGACTCTAGACCTCCTAGAGAATTAAAGTTTCCTCACAATCGTGCTTCTTGACATCATGCCAAATACCTACAGTACAGCCTGGACAGATGTTTGAGCAATTCATTGAGCTCTGATTACAGGATGGATCATCTCCTGACACTCTTAGTGACAGACTAGAAAACCTATCCAATTTAAAACTCCCCTGAAAGCAGCACTTGGTCATTCATTACTCTCATCAACACGC